GGTGAGCCTCAAATCTAGTTGTTTAAGGAAGAAAGCAAGGAGTCACTTCAGACTTTCATCTAAATAAGCAGAGTATACGTTGCCAGTCTCACTCTATACTCTGTAGTCTACTGTGTGAACTCAACTCAGTGTTTTTTCTTCTCGAGCATGACCTAATTCTCCCTGGTCCGTCTCCCTCAAGTTGCTATCTCATCAACTTCTATGTTCCTTAGACTCACTCAGAAAATAGAGCATCTTGAAATTCAATACCTATCTTTCTGAATAAAGTAAAATTGGGTAACCGCCAAAATGCGGTCATTTTTGTTGTCAGCAATGGCTACAAAAAGTTTCTTTTTGTTTTCCTTAGTAATAGAGTACTTGTAGTTCATAAGCATTTTCTCTACTTTCTTCATCCCCCTAGACAAGAGTATTCCAAGGGGAGTTGGAGGCATTTTCTAAAAGCTCTTGGTTTTACTTGTCTTAAAATTTGATCAAGCTTCAGTGATTACTGCGTAGTTCTAGAATTTTGGAATTTGCCTAACAAGTCAGTTTTTTTTCTCATTTTGTTCTTTCCAACCTGGACTCACCTGCCCCAAGGCAAAGCTCTTCTCTGGTTATTTTTACATCAGAGAAGCCAAGTTATAATTTACGGTGAATTTTGAGATGGTAAGTCTATTCAGGGTAGCTAATGAAGGAGTCTAGTTTCTTGCAAGGACTTTATAACAAATTGAAGACCTTGGTAACCTGGAGTAATAATCACCAAGCAAAACTCAGTCTGAGAAAACTAAGGAGGCAGCCAACATGGGCTGTAATGAACAGTTTCCTGTGTGCAAACAATAAAAATTTTTTGACTTGACATTTCTCCAGGAATTGCTTTTGCTGTGATTTTACGTTGAAACTTGTGGTATTCTGTGTAAATGAGAAAAATGTTCTGCATCATAAGTCAGGTGGTTCTCCTGACTGCAAGACTAATGCATTGATTTCACCCATGTTTATCAGTTCATCGGGAGTCAGTGATATAGTCCAGGCCTCCTGGTATGTGATGAAGACCCAGTCATGTGTAAGATGTACTTCTATGCCTTTAAGGAGCTTTCAATCCACTTTGAGAGACAGATATATAAATAGATAAAAGGCTGTGCGATATGGAGAGGGCCATAATAAAATTTAAGTTAAGTGCTGTGGGGCCCCAGGTGAGAGAGTAACTTTGCTTAGGGAAGCTGGAGAAGCCTTTATGTAGATAGCAATATATGAACAATCCGAAATAATGAATAGAGAAGGTTAGAAGAAAAAGCATTTTAGGCAGAAGAAGCAGAATGTGCAAATACTTAGAAGCATGAAAGGTCCTTGTGGTTTCTGTGAATGGTACAAATTTCAGCGAAGCTGGAAATAAAGAGTACAAAGAGAACAGTGATTAGGCTAGAAAAATAGGGTGTGTGCCAGGTATCTATCACTGCGTAACAAACCACCCCAAAACTTAGTGGCTTAAAGCAACATTTAATTGATTTGCTCATGATTCTAAGGGCTGTGCTCAGCTAGGTGGTTTTTCTACTGGTCTTGTTGGGGATACTCATGTAGGTGCAGTCATGTGGATATTAGATGGGAGACAGCGTGTCTCTGCTTCATGTTCCTGTGGTCTAACGAGGCTGCCTCACATGGCCCCATCACGTACTCCGACAATGAAAGCAGAGCCTGCAAGAACCTATTAAGTCAAAAGCAGATGAGAGCAGAATCTCTTGAGGCCAAGGCTCGGAATTCACACATTGTCACTTACGCCACATTTTATTGGCCAGAATAAGACATGGCCAGCCCAGCTTCCAAGGGTCAAAAATAGATTCTGCCTCTAAGGGGAGAAGCAGCAAAGTCTCATTGCAAAAGGGTGTGGGAACACAAAAAGGGAGGAATTGTGGGTTGTGGCTATTTTTACAAACAATCCACCACAGAGTGGAACCAGATTGCAAAGACTTGCAAACAAGGTAAACAGCTTGGAATTTATCCTAAGGGCAGCAGGAAGCTCTCAGAGGTTAGTTTTTTGTTGTTGTCTTTGCATTTGTTTTTAAGCACTAAAGTTAATAAATAAGATTTTCCAGCTCAGAACCTCTTATTTAGGAACCATTCCTCTCTTACAGTCCCCAAACTTATTGCAGAAGCCATCATGGTAGGACAATGGCCCATCTTTTGGTCCATTGTTTGGATCAGGAGTGGGCCCATCAGAATCCTTTCTTGGATTTTTTCCTACAGATGAGAGTTGGTCTCTTGCTAAACCTTTACAGGGGTACAAGGTTTACCCCTGTAAATCTTGGGGAGTGCTAGGTGGCTGTGTTTTGAGTTATATAAAAAAAGCTGTTCTGCACAGAGAAGCAGAGATGAGAGAGGGAGGCCTCAGGTCCTTGGAGTCCACTAATTCTGATGTCCCTTGTTCTGATGTCCCTAGGCTTGTTCAAGTTTCGTCTGTCTCTTGCAACCAAACGCGTCCCAACTAACACAAAGAGAAGTTAACGCCTGCAATTAGGGAGTTGCAAGGGACAACATAAAAATCTGAAACCAGCTGAGTTTGGGTCTCATGGTTATTGGGAAGTTATTTTAACTGATTTTTACTGGTATCTAAGAAAGCTGTTGCTTTTTATATAGCATATATAGCTACCCTACTCTTCCTGATGGCTTTTCAGCTGAATCTCTTGGAGTTTCCTAGATCAATGATCAGCTTGTTAAAAAACAGTTATATTTTGTCCTTTTCTATATACTATATAAATGTGTGTGTGTGTGTGTGTGTGTGTGTGTGTGTGATTTCTTTTTCTTATCTTCCTGGTTGGTTAGAACCTCCAGAACAGTGTTATATAATAGCAGTGATATTCCGCATGCTCCTCATACTTCCGACTTTATGAAAAAAGACTCTGATGCTTTCATCTTGGGTATAATTTTTATAGTTCTTGTCTGTAAAATACTCTTCATCATAGTAAGAGGGTCATTTTTCCCAATCTAAATTTAATGTGAATTTTTAAAAATTTGAAATGGAGATCACAGTCTTTCAAATACAGTTTTAGTATTTATCAAATTCATATTATTTCTCCTTACTATGTGAATAAGTCAATTATATTAAAATACCTATTAACACTGACTCATCCTTACACTCTGTAATAATCCCGACTTGTCTTGGTGTAGTATTGCTTTCCTGTAGCCTTAAATGTGATCTGATAATAGAGGCAGTCCTTATTTTGCATGGCACCCTGTGCATATCAGAGCCATGTCCTCACTTTGCATGCTTCTAATGTGCACACATTTAACATGGTGCTGTGCAAAATGAAAATTACCTCTATTTTACTTAGGGAAGTTTACATTCATATTCATATACACGTACTTTGTTTTTTGGTATAATACCTGTCAGATTTGGGTTAGAAAATAAATGAAGAACGTTTCTTTTTCCTATGCTCCAAAACTGTTTAAATACAAAAGAAAAGCTTGACCGACTCCACAGAGCCATCTCTTTAGGAGTGATATACATCTTAGACAATCATTTCACTCTTTGGGGCTACTCAGATCTTTCACCTCTTATTCAACCAACTTGGGTAATTAAAATTTTGCTAGACAATTGTTGAGGTTATCTAGATTTTCAAATTAATATGCATAAAGTATATGATATTCTTTCATATTCTTAACTCCATTCATTTTCTGTAGTTGTAGTCATTCTCATTCCTAATATTGTTTAAAAATGTATTTCCTTTCCTCTTCTTTCTCGCTGTCTCTTTCTGTCACACCTGCTAGAAGTTTGTCAGCTTTGTAGGTCTTTTTAGATTATGTATTTTCATTTTTTTATCTATTCCAATTTATATCTTTTCTAGCTCATTAATTTATGTTTCATTTTTATTGATTCACTCTAATATTTTTTACTTTGACTTTTTCGAGCCTTTTGAGTTGAATAATGTTTACTTATTTTCAATACAATTTTCTAATGCAGTCATTCAAGACTATGACGCTACTATTGGAGTGGTAGAAGCAACATCTCATACATTTTGATATATAACATGTTCAGTTTGTTTTGTTTTAAATCTGTAATTCAGTTTCTCTTTTCTCTTTGACCCAAGGGCTATTAGAAGAATAAATCTTACCTGTATAGTTTCTACTTTTAAAATATTTTTTTATTGAGACTTTCGTTTGTCCCAGAATGTATATTCAGCCTGAATTTACTAGGATCAAGGTCTGGTTTTCTCTCTATGGTTCCCTCTTGAAAATAAAGCTTTCTTAGCAGCCAAGCATCCTTCTCTCCTAGCATACCCAAATTAGGAGCTCTCTCTAATTGTCAGTCTATTCATGAAGACTTTCATGTGTTTTGAACAAATATTGATATCTAAAGCTTATGGATCATTAAGCCAGAGATAGTCCCAGACCTATTCAAAGAAATTCAAGTGAAAATTCAAGGATTGTTAACCTGCTATGCAAAGTGGACCTGTCAGTCATCTTTCCTTACAGCACCATGTGCAGCACCAAACAGTATGTGCAGCTATCAAGGAAATGAATGTTGGAATGAGTCAGAGTTTGATAAGTTTAGTTCAGGAATTCTTCAGAGAGGATGGCTGAATTTTACTGAAGGGGAGGGGACGAAATGATTTGCTAGAAGAGAGAAGAAAGGGCTCTCCAGTGAGGAATAGTGAAAGAAAAGGCCAATAACAATAATTATCATCATTATTACATATGTGTGTATATGTGTATGTGTGTGTTCATTACTATTTAAAAACCCTTTCATGTCCACTACTTTAAGCATGACAGTAATCCTTTGAAAAGGTATTGATTATTATGTCCCATTTTGCAGCTTGGAACACTGAGGTTTAAAGAGATTAAGTGGAGCCAAGTATGGAACCTAGATCTTCCAGCTTGAAGTTCACTGTTCTTTCCACTATATCATGCTAAGGAGTCAACCCTCTAGAGGCCACAAAGTACAGCCCCTGGTGAGGATTAGGAGAAGGAAGGAGGGGTCTGGCTATTGGGGTGTCCTCAAATGTGTAACCTCAGTGTTTGTCTCATTCGAGATCCCTGCAGTGAAGTTGAACGAGCTGCTCGAGAACTTTTATGTCACCGTTAAGAAGAGCGACGGCTCAGACTTCCTGGCCACCTCGCTCCACGCCATTCGCCGAGGCCTGGACCGCATCCTGAAGAATGCCGGTGTGGGCTTCTCCATTACCAGCAGCACCTTCAGTTCTTCCACCAAGAAACTCAAGGAGAAGCTGTGGGTGCTGAGTAAGGCAGGGATGTCAGGTGCCCGTTCTCGCAACATCATCTACTTCTCCCTGTCTGATGAGGAGGAGATGTGGCAGGCAGGGTGTCTAGGGGATGACAGCCCCATCACTCTCCTGTCCACTGTGGTCAAGTACAACAGCCAGTACCTGAACATGCGGACCCTGCAGGAGCATGCAGATCTGATGTATGGGGACATCGAGCTGCTCAAAGACCCACAAAACCAGCCCTATTTTGCCCGGACAGACAGTGTCAAGCGGGAGAGTCGGAGTGGGTCCACTCGAATCTGTCATGGGAAGATCTATCACGAACATTCCAGGGGACACAAACAGTGCCCGTACTGCCTCCTCTACAAGTACATGTACATCCACCGGCCACCCACCCAAATGGAAGCCAAGTCCCCTTTCTACCTTACTGCCCGGAAGGAGGCCATAGACATGGGCAGCGTGTGGTATGAGGAACAGAGGATGGGACTGCGGTCTCTTCGGGGAATTGTCCCAAACTTAGCCAAGAAGGTCAAGCTGGACAACTGTGAGAACTTCACCTTCGTCTCATTTACTCAGGTCTCCAGGAGGCTCGGCTCCCACAGCTGCTGCCAGTGAGCCGCCCCTGGGTCCAGGTCTCTGCCCTGCTCCCCTGCGGGTTTCTTTCAGCGTGACCCGCTGTTTCTTGGACTTTTGTGTTTTCTAACTGAAAGTAGATGAGTTTGAATAATTAGGGTGTTTTATCCAAATGTGTGTCACCTTTGTTAAATTATAGAGTCTAATACAATGTATAATTGCTACATACACAGGAGCAAGGAAGTTCATTTTATCTAGTGCCTTTTTAGCACAGATTTTCTCAAAAAAAAGAAAAGAAAAGAAAAAAACGGTTTAGTCATTTTTAAAAATCCCAGTAGCCTAGTAGCTTTAGAATGTTATGAAGACTGTATACACTTTGTTGAATTACACTCACAATAACAACTAGAAAGAAAGAGGCAGACATGTTAACCGTTTCCAGGAGAAAACTTGCACTTGACCCTCCTCTTTATATTGTGTTGATGGATGACTTGGCTCTGCAGAGCAAACAGCCCTGTTTGGTGGAAGATCGTGGAGCTGTGCTCAGTCAGGCTCTCAGCACTGGGAGGAACTTGATCTCTGCACCAGTGGAGACAATTTGATGAAAAAAGATTAATGCACCAAAAGGTATTGGTAAGAGCAAGGTTTCCAGTGAACCGGATGGTTTGTACCATGAGGGAATTTCCAGTAGTAAAAGAAAGCGGCTTGGAAAAGCAATCTGTGATCAAAATGTGAAAACCTCCTGAAGCAGAAGTGCCTACGTTTTATTTCTCAGCATCATGTGAAAGCTCTTTTCATTTGAACCTTTTTTAGAGTTGTTTTTTTAGAGTTGTTTATCTGTTCTTTGTGTCATACAGTTCTGTCAGCATATAGCACTGGATCTGTAAAAGAACTAAAGGTAATCTTTCAAGCTGAGCCAAGAAAACCTAACAAAACAAGCTGCAAAGGAAACAAATCCAAAAATGTGTTTATTAAAGAGCTTTGAAATATTTTTGTCCAAGTATGACTTTTTCAGCCACAGTAGATGTCATCATTTTAGGCTGGCACCAATGCTTGGGACATGGTGACGTAGGCAGCCTGCCAGGTAAGCACACCCAGCATTAAGGACGTAGTTGTCAAAATCAGAGGATGACGATAGGTTATTAATGTGGTTTGAAACCACTTCACTCAGGTAAAACTCAACCTGACCACATGCTATTGAAACATCAGCAAATTTTCTAATAACTGCTCTGAATGAGAAGTGAAAAAGGAGCCCAAAGAGTGCTAATTAATAATTTCTAGGGATCTTTGTTTTGTATTTGAGGAAAGACTGCTACAACTTTATATCATTGTGTTCCTTGTGTATGCTTTCAAATTCAAAATTCCAATATAAATTGGAATTGCGGGAGTCCTGAAATCAGTCTTTTTTTTTTCCAAAAACATTGTTTTAGTATTTATTTTAATTAATTTTTTTTAAAAAACTATTCAGTGGTCATTGAAATATGGAATACTTCCTTTACCAGAGAATACTCAACCAATGCTGCCTTAAGGGTTAATGTTGTTCCCTTTTTAGTTTCTGCACATTTATAATTTTGTTTACTAGTCGGTCTTTTCTGAATATAGATTAATTTTGGTGTCTCCATCTGTATGTAACAGGTAATAATTAAAAATTAGCGTCATGACTTTATATTGCATACTGTTCTATTATCTATAGTGATTTTCAGGTTTCGAGAACAAAAGAGACACAAAATGTACCATTTCCTTTAGTTTGCTAAACACCCAAAGGATATTTTGTTTGTGGAAAGCAGATGGTCATTTTTTTTCTTGTCAGTTCTGTACTTAAACAGAAATAGAACCTATGTGAACTACTGGACAGAGCCTGCAGCCTAATTAAATAAAACCTCCATTTTTATTTTAAATAGATTCAAGAAGAAACTGCCATTAGGAATCCCTGGGATCTTTGCAGATTTTAACGTTTCCAGAAGTAGCAATAACTGAGCCGGAGGTTGTAATCTTTCTGTTGGTAGTGGCTTTTTTATCAGCTAAATAACCATCCCTGCCTCAAATTTGTTGCTCATTACCTATTTGACATAGTGTAAATCCCCAGAGCTCTGAAGTGAATGATTACAATAAAAAAATCAGGAGGCGGAATCTTCAGTGATATCTGAAGAGATGAAAGAACTGTGTCTCAGCATCCTAAATGCCGTTTATTACATGTCTCCTTGGGGAATAGGAGTGACAAAGAAAACACATTCATCAAGTGCTATTCTGTGCCACCCATTGTTCTGGGTACTTTGTCTATTATGTATTTGTGTGTAGATGTGTATGTTTGTATGCACACACACACACTTTATGTGTGGTAATGCCTCATAAACCTGCTAAAACAGTGAAGCACCTATCCATCTCTATGGCCGTGTCCACCCTCAGAAGACGTGCAGGGGTCACGGGGAGCTAGTTCTAGTTGGTGTACAGCTAAGGCTATCGGTCAGTTCTAAACCATAGCCCCTGGCGACTCCATGGTCTTCTGCCCTTGGCCTAAGCCAGGAGAAAGGAGAAAGGGAAGGTTAAGAGTGTTTTCTCCTTTACCTTTAGTTTTCTTGGGGTTTTTTGCTTGTTTTTTTAAACTCAAAAGTCAGAGTGGATATCAGGAACTTGCAAGTTCACCTAGGCACAAGTTGCCTCTGGCTCTGTCAGGAATGGAGGTGCTTTAGGTATCATGACAGGGCCTGTGCAGTCCTGTGAGCGAGGTCTTGCCCATAGCACCTTCTGCATCTGCTGTAAAGGGAGCCCTGCTGGCTTGGGAACCTCCCCGAATCTAGCGGGTCTCCCCTTAGAAGTGTATTCTGGCAGAAATGATAGGCGTGAACTTCAGGGTATGATTCAATTAAATATTAAGGGTTTAGCACAGCACTGGCACGTAGTAAGCATGCAATAAATGTTAGCTATTTTAGTTACAACTTTTGGTAATAGTAATAACTCATATCATTCAACTAATCTGCATGACACCACTATTTCTTCCATTATGGAGATTCTCTCTCCTTTAAACTGTTAAACTTGAAGTGGAAACCAAACCTGATAATCTGGTCCCACGTATGCCCATAAATTCTACCTCCAACACAGCCTAGCCCTGGTACCTCAGATCTAAGCAAAAACAAGTGAAGAATGGAGAAACCTTTAGAAACTTGATGAGAAAGATTTTCCATTGTTTAGTGTGTTCGCAAAGGGGATTATGGAAGAACCTAACCAAAGCTGTGAAAGAAATGGTCCCCTCGGTCCTGTGGCATTTTCCAGCTTTCCTTGGGTTATACATATGCTATATTAGTCTGCCCTGATGGATAAATGGTGTTTAAAGAAATGTGGAATTCTGTTACGTTGGTTTTAATTCAGCCTTATTAAAAGCATTAAGCACTATGCCACTTGTCAGCATGTTCACAGTCACTAGGAGAATATGGACTCCTCGTGAAGCAGCTGGACGAAGCCTCTGGCTATGGTAGAAAGTTACTAGACTGGAAGCTCCTTCACTACTCACTTGGCAAATTCTGGTCTCACGTTCCTGGGCTGTAAAGTGGGGCCATGGGAGTGGATCATCTCCAAAGTGGATAATGCTATCCTTCTGCAATTTCCCCAGGCCATATAGTTAGGGAGGGGCAAAACTAGGCAGCAAACAAAACTGGTAAAAACTAGTTCCTCAAGGTCTTATCACAAATCTATCTCTTAACTCAGTGCTTCTCACTAGACTGGAAGGGTTTCTTTAGGAATAACAATTTTCTTGAATTTTCAGGTTTCACGTCTTCTGAAATTATTTTGCTGTCTATAGGCAGCAGAATGTTGATTATTTTTCTGTTCAGGTTCACACTGACCGCATTGTTGCTACTTAAATAGAGTAAACAGAATATTTATTATGTTTCTCAAATGCACGCCACCTTGTTGCTTTTATTGAAACCTGGATTGCCAAACAGTGTGGAGCTAGTAACCAGCCACCTTTAGGCATCAATAAATGCAAACAATGAAGACCTCCAAGAAGAGTTACCTCATTTTCTCCACATGAGCTGCCGTTCAGTCTTAAGTTATGGCCCAGGTGCAAACAAATAGCCCTGAATAGAAAAATACATTAAAAGTTTCAAATTCATATATATCTTTAAATGCTTTTGCTTTGAGGGTGAATTTTTAATGTTTTGTATTCAAAGAAAAAACATTCAATTGTTTGGGCAGTGCTCTTAGGTAAAAATCTTCATTGTACTCTCCCATATAAATTAACCATCTTAGCAAAAACGTAAGTGGAGGGAGAGCTTGGTGGTGACCTAAGGCCAGGCTCCCTTTCTGAGAGAGGAAGAGGCCATGAGGATGATAAATAACTTATCTCTGGAAATTATTCTGATATCGCACAATTTCCCAAAACTCCTTTGAGGGAGGATGCCCATCTTCTGGCAAAGGTCATCTGTTATTATTATGATTTTGAGTACTTCTAGTTCTTTACAGTCCAAAAAATCCAGTGTAGTTCCTCATGTTTAGCTATTGATCAGAATCAGATTTTTATGCTCGAGTAAAGTGCTTTATTATTTATCTAATGCAGCTCATATGGAAGTTAATTAATATGTATTAAGTCCAAATAGTGATCACTAATTATGTCTAGGTGCATATTGCATCCATTACCATTAATAGCAATTAGACAGAGCCCCCTCCCCTAGTGAGATGAGAATGGGCTTAGTCCTAAATATTTTGTGGTCAGTATAACTGATTTGATTACTTTATGTTTAAGGTAGTTATTGATCCTGATTTGTTCAAATAAGTTTCTAGAAGGTTCAGATTTGACTAACACTATGGTAAGTGCTTTCCCACAGCTGCCTCAAGTTCTCATTTAATTCTCACAACAGCTCTGCAAGGTAGGTCTAATTATTCTCATTTTACTTACTGAGAAACCAAGGCTCAGAGAAGTTAAGTAAATTTCCCAAAGTCTCACACAGCTAATCAGCTGGAACACATAAGTTTGATCCCTGGTCGTGTGACTCCAAATTCCAGTGCTTAATCCATTAGACAAAACTGCCTTCTTAAGGCCCATAGAGGTCCGCTTATCACAGAGCTTTGAAAAAAAATTAAAGGAGTTTCTATTTGTTCGGGAAATATTTCTTAAGCCATACTGTGTCACATCTCATACTAGTCAGTTGGTCACGTGCTATAATTCAGTAGTTCCTAGAATGGTCTTCTGTGAATGAGTACACCATTTCTTGCCTACTGAGACTCTTGTCTTTATCCAATAAAGAATTCGTATTACTCATTACCTTAAAGGGCACATAGTCATGCTGATTTATTCTAATAAAAGTCAAGTAATTTACAAACTGCACCTGTTTTGGCATTGGCATCACAACTTAAAATGTAAAGAGCTTCCTAATCTATGTCACAACTACATGGTCAGGTGTTTTACTGTCGCTTTTTACTTTTAGTGTCAGAGAATTTTTATAATCTTTAGGCTTAAAGCACTCTCATAGCAAAATACATATATAGTCATTTGTTCTTTTTTATTCTTCTTTATCAGGACATGTTTACTTTCTGCTTTGAGACTTAACAAAAAACAATAGGTGTTTACTTTCTTCTTTGAGACTTAACAAACAACAATAGGATATAGGTAACTCTGAGATTGTGTAGCCAAATTCGCTCATTTTGCCATAAGGACATTGAAGCCCAGAGAGAGTAAAGGTCCCATCCAAGGTCAGCAAGACAATAAGTGGTAGATTCAGAGATAGAAAATTAATCTAGAACTCTTTCCTGCAAACCATGGCTGGGAAGATTGGGATTTTAAAAAATTAATGGATCCACAGCTGACAGAATGACATCTCCCTATCAGAAGCCCCCAGTGAGCGCCTATCTTCCCCAGAAAAACACTCATAAAGACCCGAAGAAGGCCAAATCTCAATTCTGTAATCTAGAAGGAACTGGAAAGTTTCTTTCTCCCACCCTCCCTTTCTTCTCCCTGCCCTGCCTCCTCTTCATTCAGCCCAAGACTCCAAGTCCTAGGGCTAAACCATGAGAAGAAAGCAGACAGGATCTGTTACAGGTATAGTGCATTCTAAGATAAATGCCCTTCAGGTGAGAGCAAAAATAATACATAGGTAGAAGAACATGCAAATGTGATTTTTTTTTTAATGTATGATGTTGATTCAGAGAACCAGACAGCCTGATAATAGGAAGGAAAAGATGCCACTTCAACAGAAAAATGCTAAACTAGAAACTGAACTTGGAAATCTGCACATCTCCTTACCACCAAACTCTATATCCTAAAGCGGGATTTGACAAACAACTAAAGTGGACAGATAGTGTAACCAAGACAAATTCTGGGTCCGGGAAAAAAGGACCACATTTAAGGATGACTATAGAAAAAAAGTGAAATGGGGCATATTTTTTTTAAGTGACCGAACCAAGGAAAATGGACAGCTTCCAGAACATTTGAAAATGAAAGTGGTCTACTGCAAGAAACAAGAAAATTTTAGGATTCTTTTTGTTATTATTCAAAAGAATTGCTTCTATGCAGCAATACTTATCTTCAAATGGGAGTGAGTCCAGAGGAAAAGGCCATAGAATAAAATGAAAACGAAGATAGATTAGAAAGAAGGATTTCAAGGAAGCTAAAAACACAACATCAGATTAAAATCCACATTGGAAGCAGAAAAGATCAATACTGATACTTAAAAAAACTCAAATCAATAATGTGAAGGACAAACTTAATATTTTTCTTCCTAATGTTCTTTCAAAAGAAACGAGATGAAAATAACAGGATAAGATAATGGATATGGAAGACTAAACAGTAGCTTACATTACTGATATATGTGTTCCTGATGGAAAGACGATTTTGAGAAAAAGTATCAGACTTTAAAAATGAAATCTTTCCTGAACAGAATGAAAATTTGTGTTTGTAGATTAGGACTCACTACATTCCAAGCAAAAAAAATTTTTTTTGAAAGAGACCCTTACCTAATTAAGCACCTCATGGCAAAAATTTTAAACTACAATGATAGAGAATGAAAACTCTTGCAGGCATCCAGTCATAAAGTAACAAATTGTCTATCAGAAAACAAAAGAACATTTAGATTTCTACTCTATAGCACCAAATGCTAGGAAACAATAGGGAATTTTGAGGGGAAAAGTTGTGACTTTGGAATTTGATATAATTTTCATTTTTTTATAGAAAATATTTGTAGTTATGACAAGCATTCAGGAAATGAACCATCTATATATTCTAATAAAGATTAAATTGTACTGCAACCTACAAAGCTTGGTTAGAAAAACAATTTTGTTTAATATAATTTCAAGGGACTTGGGGGTATCAAATATAGAGCATACAGAAGAAGACTACGTACGTATGCTTTTAAATAGATAATAACGCTAGAAGCCACATATCTAAAAGTTCCCAAAGTCATCATCACATGAATGGGTTAAACTAATACAAGAAAATGTACCTAAAAACAACTGTCATATCACAGCCTCATGTTTCTTCATTTTTATTACTGAAGTAACGTATGATCATTATAGTATAAATAGAAAATTCAGATACATCTTTTACAAAGAAAATTTAAATTGCTCTTTTCCCCACTACCATTTAAAACACTATCCTGAGAAGAGTCCCTTGCTTCCAAGTAAGAAAAGGCAGGGGGTTCCCATGTGCTTTTTCTACTCTTCTCAAACTCAGAGCTAACAATAGGTGCAAAATGAAAAAATTACAGAATATATATATATATATGTATCTGTGTTTTAGAAAGATCAGGAAAAGGAAACTTGTTTTAGAATATAAATGCAAGAAAAGTTCAGTTTCAACAGCGGGACGTTGGCCTGGGGCAGTGACGGGCTTTCCTTAGCTGTACTTGACCTTTAGGGAACTGTGTTTAAATTCAGGTACTAAGGGAATAAAAGTAGTAAACACCGCCGCCACTACCACCAGTTTAAAGTTTAATCCCTTCCTGTGTCTAGCAACATCAGTATTAGAACTGACTGGGTTGTTTTGTTCTGGGTTTTTTGTTTGTTTTTTCATTAGCTTGCATTGGGAAAACATGCAAGACTGTCCAGTATCTTTGGCCTTAATGCTCACTTCCCTCCTGGCAGTCTAAAGGTTTTATCTGGCAAGTTGTGTTGCCAGCTTAAACTCTCAATTAAATTTTCAACAACACCAGCACGTTCGCTTTAAATGTAGCAATAGAACAGTTAATGGGTTGCTTGCGTTTGCTTGGCTTGTTCTGACGCACAGCAAACCTCTTCCAGATGGAGAGTCTCTTCAGGACAGATTCCAAGTATAACCTTTCCAGGGTCTCTCCCCTTGCTTGGCTGTGACGGACAGAAATCTGTTCACTTCAACTCCTTAGATAAGAAACCCAACGCTTGTATTTAAATTTTAAATATTTTCTATGTGGCTGTATGTTCCAAATGATAGCAAGAAAACTGTGCCCTAATGCTTTCACTGTTCTGGATATGTTTTGGGTTTGTTTGTCTGTTTTTGTTTTTGTTTTTTAATGTAGGGGCTATACATCATTTCTTAACATTGGAAACATCATTCAGAATGATAGTGGAAATGGTAACTTAAGTGAATTTTTTTGGTTCTATTTTCAACTTTTTCTTTCTCCCCCCCAGTGATGCCTGCACATGTTCACACATGCGTGTGCACATGGGCACACATGAGTGGGAAAGCATATGTCACACCTATTTTCTGTAGTAGAGTGTCGAGTTGGAAGGCATTTTCTCGTTCAAGGCCAGCCCTCTAGTTGCTAGTAGTAGTCTGTTAACAATTTACAAGGTTCTGGTTTTTTTTTAAAGTCATTATTGTTGTTTGGTTTGGTTTATGTACATGCAGCTTGTTGTTTAACCCAGATTTTTGAAAATAAAAAGAAAATGTTAATGTATATTTTATGTCTGTTTTATTAAAATAACTTAGTTATTTTAACTTAATCAGCAGTATGTATGGTTTCTGAATGTTTCTTGTTTTGGTATCACATTCCTGGAAGTAATATTTTTCTTTGAAGTTTGCAAAATGTTAGGCCATCTTGAGCCACTCTCTAGTCGTATTCCCTGCTTCTGAGCTAATGGGCTGGGTGAAAGAGCTCTGAACGACTCTCGCTCTGGTTCTCTGACTTAGATTTCTTCACTGGTCAGGCTGAAAGCCCATTCTGAAAGCTCTCACGGTAATTGTATACATGCCTCTAATTAATGGTTTTTTTTCTGCTCTTTAAATTATTATTTATGGCTTTTGGAGAGTATGTTTAATCCCAAAAACTTTTAAACTAGAAATTTACTGCTGTATATATATATATATATATATATATATATATATATATATATATACACACACACACAACAGCTAAAACCATTCCTAAGAAATAAGTATCTGAAAAATACTTCTGAATGAGTATAATGGGGATAATGGTGAATAGATGACAGGTTTCATTGACAATTATTGACCTTCAGGCAAATTGACTCTCTTCTTATTATTCTACTTAGAGCAATAAGTTTTCAAAATTTTAGACACGTGGACCAGTTTTAGAATTTAATAAAAGTTATATTTTTTTCAGGAAAATGTGTATATGCTGCAACATTATATATATATAAACCGAGATTTAAAAACTCTTACACTCGCTTTTTTAAAGAGTTGTCTTTTTGAGATATGTTCTAAAATATTTATGGATTTGCTTCAAAATAATCCAGAGGGGTAGAGTAGGTGGATGTGTAGATAACATACAAATTGGTATTGAGTAGACAATTATTAAAGCAAATTGATGGGTACGTAAGAATTTGTTATACTCTTTTCTGTTCTTTTTATATGTTTGAAATTTTTTATAAGGCAGAGTTGAAAAATAAACACACACAAAAAGCTCCTGTACTAGAAATTCCACAGTCCTCCTCACCAATTTCATAGAATCACAGAACCTTCAAGCTGAAAGGAAGGACCTGAGGAGAGATGAGACTACTGACAGTGACAAACACAGATAAGACCCTCCAGATTACAACTGAGGTAGATTTTTCAGGTGAGAAACGCTGGACTATAGCGTAATGGCAAGAACTAGTGAAATTTGAATTATCACTATTGACATGACTTCATTTGTACCAACCAGATGGGAACACATTTTGTTCTCTCCCTTTAAGGCAGACAGTAGGTCTGTGGACATCTTGGGGGTTGATTCCAGCAGCCGTAAGAGAGCTGTAGATAGGACATTGAGATGCAAGCCTGTCATGACGAAAGAACTGTGAACACTGGCACACTGAGCCAGGAGGTCCACGGGCCTAGGCTAGCACATGGCCTCTCAGACAAATACTCCTGAGGGTTGCTACGGAAACTAGGTGCTACCAAAACCTTGAAAGAAGGACCTGCAGGTGAGCACCAGCCAGGGATGTGTGGAGGGTAGCTGTACAGATGGCCTGGTGCATGCCCACTCTCACTTAGGTGCCCCAGCGCTTGAGGGGGTCTCTCATGACCAAGTACGTTGTGACTTATTGCGATTTCCGTTTTCTTGCCCTCTCCCAGAAGATGCGTGTCCCGGCCTCCTTCCCAGTACGTTTCCTTCTTTTATTTCTTTCAGTTTCCCTGTTTTATTTCTTCCTCCGCTTAAGAGCATTTTCACTACCGTTTTTTGCTGGTAACACACCAGGGACAGACACGAAAGACATTAAACAAGATATATTTCAGCAATAAACAAGATTCTGGTATTTCTCATGGGATCCCAAAGAAATAAGGATGAGAAATAAAAAATTCCTGCTGGAGTATTTACAATGTACTCAGCTGTTGAAATGTTCAGAATGCAATCAAGGAAGTAATTTAGCACATTTCTAATACACTTAACTATGGTAATAATGTTGAAGAGTTTGGCCAAATTTAAAGAACCCCATGAATCTTTGAGGACATTATTAAAGACTCTAACCCCCACAATAACAAATACATTTTGACAGTTAACAGTTAATACTGTATTTGTGGTTTGTTGTCTGTCCCTAGGATAATGGTCCAGAATTGAAAGGATGCAATTTGACCTTCCCCTCGGCAGGAAACAGTATAATCCAGATATTTCCTTTTGTCCTTTATTCTCAGGACATGTGTAGATATGGGCAGACCACTATCGTGTACTGTATTTCTCAGTGTAACTCCAACCCGGGCACTGTTTCCCACGTGTCAGTCATTCATGTACCTCCTCTCTGATCTTTGTGGTGGCTGAGTCCACTTGTTCTATTCTTTATTTGCTCTTTTCTTTAAACTGATTCTTTTTATACTTGAGTTTAGGTTAAGGAAATATATATATATATATATACACATATATATATGTATATATATATGTGTATATATATATATATATATATATATATATATATATTTTTTTTTTTTTTAAGCAGGACTCAGACTACTCGGGTCCATATTCCCGCTCTGCCTCTTACTAGTTGTGTAAACTTGGGCAAGTTATTTGACTTCTCAATGCTTCATCTTTAAAGATGGGATAACAATAATATCTACCTTGTAGGATCGTGGTGAGGATCAAGTAAGAATATTATTACATATAAAACACTTAGAACAATGGCTGGTAAACAGTCACTCAAAAAAATAACTATTCGCTGTGGTTATTTATATTACTCTATAAATGCTGTCTTGCAATAAATAGGCATAAATACATAACTATTAAAATGAAAAAGTGTTGCTCATGTATACCCTAAGAGTCATCTCTAGCATCACCAGTGGCATCTAACTTTGGGAAACAGCTTCAACCCCTCTTCCTTTTAAAAATGATCTTCTCCTTGGCGTCCACGAGGACTTAAGGTGTCACTGTCCTCGTTTTCCCAATGCGTCTCTAGATTCTCTTTCTCAGGCTCCTCATTCCTTGGCTCTCTCTCATTTATACTGATTCAATTGTATACTCTTTTCAAGACAACTTCATCCACACCCTTGGCCTTAGCATAAGGCCGGCATTATCTAAACCTTTCTCCCCTGGGGTTCTTCATCTGAACCACAGAATGCAGAGAGCGACCCAAGTGCACATTTTCTTCAGTTCTCCCACGGAGAACTGAGGCACATAACTACTAATCCATTCTAGGTGCAGGGGAGAAGTGTTCATTGATTCCAGACAGTGAAGGCCATAGGGCATTAGGGCTTCCTTCTCTAGTGAAACCCCAGTTGAGAAAAGCTCTTCAACCCCATGTCTCCACCCTGTATTTCTTCCTAAGGAAATGGCACTTGTATCCACCCTGTTGCCCAAGCCAGAAACTTGAAATATCCTAGGACCTCCCGCTTTCCTCCGCGTCCCTCTTTCATCCTCCATTATCAGTTTCCATTATCAGGTCATTCTTCCTGCCTTACTTAATAGCCTCTGAATCTCTTCCCTTCCCATCCTCAATGCCACCAGCTCCGTCAGCCCATACCATTCTGCCCTGTGATCACTTAAAAGCAACCTGAGTGGTCGCCTTGCCTCTACCAGTCCATCTTCCACTGCTTCCTGGGGAAATGTCACTAAATTCAAATCTTATTTTACCATTGCCCCTTTAGTGGCTCTCCAAAGCCTTTCTGATAAAGCCCCAAACCCTCCACACGGCGGGCTGGCTTGTGCTGTTACACCACTCCTTCCCTCTCTGCCACTGTGCCCGCTCCTCCCCTCCTCTGCCTGGGACGCCCTCTCCCTTCCACCCGCTCCTCTGCCACTACCCCTGCCTTTTGTAAAAGCCTTACTCCTCTTCAGTTCTCATCTGGCATGCTGTACATGTGAGCTCCTCCTCTAAGGAGCAGCCAGTCCTTGGATTCTGCTGTCTCAGAAGTTAACAACATTCAACAGAACCCATGAGCGGATCACTGTCACCCTTCCCCATCTCCCATCCCCAAGGAGCCAAGCATCTTCAAAGGGAGCAGCCTTGCATCTGGGAGCATTTGACTCACGAAGAGGCTGAACTGGAAGAACTCAGTTCTCTGATGAAGGTCTGCACCTCCCGGGATGGAGAGCTGTGTTCCAGCTTGTGGCTGCTCAGAGCCTGTGTTTTCACTGTTGGATGCTTTCCTAAGAGAATTTGAATTCACAGCTAAGTCATGAAGGATGAGGGGCTGGCACACACTTCTGTTTTCTTAACAGAACTACGGCTGCCAGCTTCAGTGTATTTGCTACAACATTGCAAGGCTCGGAATCTCCAGGACACTCCCAATGGTAATAACATCTGTGGCCTTGAGAAGAGTCCCAAAAGACTACACTGGAGAAGCATCCAAACCGGTAGAACTAAACTACTTTTGTTTCAAAGGTTTTAACATGGCACCTATGGCTGAGCTTCAGGGAGTCTAGGAACCCCCTAAAATTAGAGGCATAGTTTTTTTGTGTGTGTATATGTACATTTCACTTGGGGAGAGGGGCCATTGCTGAGGACCATGGTGCCAGTTTTCCCTTTGGACATCAGCCTTATTTCATTTATTCATTAAAATGTCTGAACACTTGCTATGATGTGTCAGATATGGTGCTAAGCTCGGGGGGATACATATCAGTGGGGAAAAAACACATAAAAGTATCTGCACTTATGGCAGTTATTATATTCTAGTGGGAGAAGGCAGACAATATAAGGAAATAAACAAAATAAGGAAATAAATTATATACTATGTTAGAAGTTGCTAAGTGCCACAGAGAAAAATTAAGCAAGGTTGTAAAGGGGAAAGGTGATGGAATTTTGAATAGGGTGGCCAAAGAAGGCGTCAATGAAAAGATGACATTTAAGGAAAGACTGGAGGATGTTGACGGAGTCAGCCACATGGGTAATAGGAAGAAGCGCACGCCAGTCAGAGGGAACAGCAAGTGCAAAGGCCCTGAGGTCCCAGAGGTACCTGGGGGACTGTCTCTTCAAAGTTGCTTTTGCCTGGCATTCAAGCAGACAGCAGGTACTAAGAAACATCACTTACTGG